AAAATTGAAGACAGACGTGGCCCTGGTAGTGTTTATAGGCATTTATAATTTTCATATATATGTATGTGGCAATACTAAACGGTACTAAAAAGCGGCAATCCAGGTAAACGTCAGTAAGTTATGAAGTCAGTGTAAAAAAATAAAAGAAAAGAGTCTGTTACGAAGAGTTAGAGTAGTTCCAGCTAATTTTACGTGAGGAATTGTAGAGTCGACACAACTTTATTATCTTAATTTATATGCTTTAAGGTCATGTTGTGCAGAGTTTTTTGGGCAGGGCAAAATTCGCTCTTTCGGGCTTTGACGAAAATGTCACACCAGATTGTCACATAAGTATTGCCAATTTTGTATTTTTACTACGTCTTAGTACTTTTTGGTTGTGCCTAAATTTAAGAGGAAATTTAGATATGCTCACTTTCAATTCTGAAATTCATTACTAAACAACATTGTTTTGCCTTAGTGCTAAGGCACAAATACTCCGACTCTCCTGCCGGAGTTTGAACGACCATATTGTTTTTTCTCTCATTCTCAAATTTAAAATTTGCATTGAAAACAACAACAATTGTACTGATGCCGTGTCCGAGACACTCTATATAACATGGTCTATATACCTTAAATCAAATAAACATTAACAAATCGTATTTTATCTATTTATCTATTAAATCATATAAAATAGTTACTCATTTCAGTGTGATCTTGCTAGTCTGACAAAATATCTATATAATATATAATATATATCTGTATATAATTTAATCTCGAATGTTACACATTTCGTTTGAGATTTGGCAATCAAAACTGAAAGTTGCACTAAAAGTGGATTTCGACTGAAAAAGTTGCCCCCGATTTACCAATCGAAAACGGCATTATTGTTAAAAAACGTATGTTAATGCAAAAAGATATCCGATCAATATGGATCAAGTTGTTCTAAAATAGTAAATAAAGTAGTTTGATAAAATTTGATCAAAGGGGGAAACTCCTCATCAGGAAACGTTTAACTGTAAGTTTCAGAAAAATTTTCTTTGTTTTATTTACGATAGACTTGTAATCCATTTAATCTATGTGTTTTTTTTTTGTTATATTCTTTGCTGAATCTCTCTGAATGAAATTAACAAGTTATAATATCCAATCTTAAAAACTAGCTGAGGAAACGTTACCTTGATTACATTGAGATCCCGTTGAATACCACCATTGAGTTCTTCACATGCCACGGGGCTATCACAATCTGTCTGGTGATTTTTTTTTGCTATCTTTACAATTTTTCCACAT